ACAAATCGTGCTGGGTACAACTGGACATCTTCATCCAAAAGACAAAAATCTAGACACAAACCTTAGACCTTTCACAAATGTTAACTCAGAATGGATTGTAGCCTTAAGTGTAAAATGCAAAATTGTACAACTTCTAGAAGATAACACAGAAGAAAATCTAGGTGACCTTGGGTTTGGCAGTGGGGTTTTATATACCACACCAAGATCATTGTCCATGAAAGAAAAAATTGATAGTGTAGACTGTATTAAAACCAAAAACTCTCATTCTGTGAAAGACACTGTTCAGAGAATGAAAAGGCAAGTCATAGGCTGGAAGGAAATATTTGCAAATATTTGCAAATATCTGATAAATGACTTGTATCCAAAATATACAAAGAACTCTTAAAACTCAGCAATAAGAAAACAAACAACCCAATTGAAAGAAGGGCCAAAGATCTGACCAGACGCTTCACCAAAGAAAATATACTAATGGAAAATAAGCACCAGAAAAGATGCTCAGCATCATATGTCTTTAGAGAACTACAAATTAGAACAACAAGGAGACACTACTATACACCTATTAGAATGACTAAAATTGGGGCACCTGGGTGGCTCAGCTTTTTAAGCGTCTGCCTTCGGCTCAGGTCATGTTCTCGGGGTCTCCTGGGATCAAGCCCCACGTCGGGCTTTCCTGCTTAGCAGGGAGTCTGCTTCTCCCTCTTCCTCTGCCCCTCTCCCTCTCCCCCCCACCCCATGCTCTCTCTCTCACTCATGCTGTATCTCAAATAAATAAATAAAATCTTAAAAAAAAAAGAATGACGAAAATCCAAAAAACTGATAACACCAAATGCTGACAAGGATGCTGAGCAACAGTAAGTCTCATTCATTGCTGGTGAGAATGCAAAATGGTGCAACCACTCTGGAAGACAGTTTGGCAGTTTCTTACAAAGCTAAATAGAATATTATTTCAAAGCATTTGTAAATAAAGTATATTTATTTAGCTGTTTCTTACAGAATCTCACTCCTAGTATTTACCCATTTGAGTTAAAGACTATGCTCACACAGTAACCTGCACGTGAATGTTTATAGCAGCTTTCTTCATAATTGCCACAACTTGGAATCAACCAAGTTGCCTTTCAGTGGATTAATGAATAAAGGGAATATTATGCAGGGACGAAAAGAAGTGATCAGGCCACAAAGAGACGTGGAGAGACCTTAAATGCTAAGTGAAAGGAGTGAAAGAAGCCAGTCTAAAAAGGCTGCATACTGCATGATTGCAACTGTGTGGCATTCTGGACAAGGCAAGACCATAAAGACAGTGAAGAGATGAGTGGTGGCCCGGGGTGCAGGAGGAGGGGGGTAGGGATGAATAGGTGGGGCATGGGACATTTTTAGGGCAGTGAATTTATCTGTCTGGTGCGGTAATGGTGGACGCATGACATTATGAATTTGTTAAAACTCATGAACTACAGAACACCATGAACCCTAATGTGGTTTAACTATGGACTGTAGCTAATAAAAAATAAGATTAAATAAATACAAACAAAAAAATCATCATGATGTAACACCGAAAAAATGTTTTGCTTGTTATATGCCAATTTTACCTCCATAACAGCTGTTAAAAAAATAACAAAATCTTTGAGCCATACCTTCTGTGACAGACCGGTAACCTCTGAGCTCCCAGGCACGCGGTCTGCAATTGTTGGCTCCTTGTGAATAGAAGTGGTTTCTCTTCCTTCCTGTTCCGTAGAACCATTTCTCATGGCTTTTTACAGCCCGGAGGGACAATCACTGATGAGAGCAGCTTGGAAGAGGCCATTCTGGAAATGATGACGCATCAAACTCTGGGTCATTTGCTGATGCTTAGTGTGTCTGGGGCCCTGTCCGGAGTGGCGTTTGCTCTGAAAGTCAGCAACTAAGTGGATGGGTGTTTGGCAGGCCGGAGACCTGAGTTCTGAGTCCTGTTGTGTTGTTACCTGGCTGCCAGGTTTGGGGCAAATCACTTACTTTACCGAGGCCCATCTCAGCTTCTTTGTACAATGAGTGGGTTTTCTGGGGGAATTTCTCTGGCTTCTTCCAGTTCCAGACCCCATTTCTGTCAATATCAAACCTTCTCCCACACTTTTGCCTGGAGTGGAATGTGTGTCTTGTGTGTATACATGTGTCCCAGGGCACTTGGCACAGCAGAAGCCCTCTTGTGTGGGGGCACCAGACGCCATCCCCGCAGTGTGCCCCCTCTCCGCCCCAGGTTGTGGGTGGAGACCCAGGGCCCGGCTTGCTCCAGGCTGGTGGCCCAGGGCAGGCCCAGAGGTTGGTGGCAGCCAGGCACCAGCCGTTCCTCCCAGCGCTGTTGTTCTTTCAGCCCTTTGTGCTTTCATACATCCCAGCCCTGAACTCTCTCTTGGCAAAGAGGATCTCCTCCATCTCCAAAGAAATGCCCACAAAGCAGTTCTGGTATTTTCTTAGCCCACTACTGAGCTGTGGTCTGTAATGCTATTGTGATTCCAAAACTCTAAGGCTCCAAGTTAGAAGATTTTCCTAGTAACTGAGACCCCAAGAGCATTTAACTTTTTTTTTTTTTTTTTTATGTTGAATTAGTTAAGTGGACATTTTGGGATAGAAGATATCTTCAGCTGGTATTATGCTGTGAGCCTAGCTTTGCTTACTTTAAGGACCTTGGGACATAGTTGACTGAGAAGCTCCGTGAGGTCTGAATGGGGTCATGGTGAAGTACCTGATCAGATTCTCAACCTGGATATCAAGGTCAAATGTTCTTAATGAGGGAGGGTAAAGGGCAGAGAATCTGCTTCTTTTGACAGTTTGTGATATACTGGGACCGTCTTCAATATTGAAAAATTAAGCTCCATGAAAAACAACTCAGCCAGGTTTTATATGTTTGATTTTTTTAGGACTTTGTTTAGAGAAGTTGCCTGTTTCCTCTTCTACCAGTAACCTCCACGTGGACCGGGAACAGGATGTCATCACCTGTTATGAGAAAGCAGGGGACATTGCGCTCCTGTACCTCCAAGAGATAGAAAGGGTAAGTGAGGACCATGTGTTTCTTCTAGTTGATAATTTTTAAAAATTTCAAATCCGACTGTAGAGAACTGTGGTCAGCTTCTGGAAAACCTCAACACATCTGCCTCTGGGTGCAAAGCTTTACTTCTATCCTTCAGTGCAAAGGAGATGCTGGTGATCATGGCACCTTGTGAAGAGTGTTTGGGAAGCATTTTAACATCCTCAGAGCAGAAATGACAGTGTGCCCCGAAGCTGGTTAGTCACTCATGTTCTCCTATGCACAGTGGGGCGAGCTGCATTTGTATTTGCATGGATGAGATGCCAACAGAATGTACATCTGGGGCTTGGGAGGTTTTACCTCGGTTGTTATGCGAAAGGTCTGCTGGGGACTCCCAGCTGACCTGTGTGGAGCGGGTGTGCATCCCCTGAGACCATCTGGGATGGCTTACTCCCAGCAGTCAGTGGTGGCCTGTGGTGGGGAATGAAACCAGCAGCTGACAAGCGGGGGGCCCCGAGCAGAGACAGAGGGAGCAGGAGGCCCTGAGCTCACACCCTCAGGCAGAGGAGGTTGGAGGCTTGTCTGTTCTGAACTTGTCTCTTCAGAAGGATCACTGCTCTTTACTGTTCCTTCATCTCAGCCTCAATTTTACCATCTGTGAAAAGAGCAGAATAGTTTCTACTCCATGGAGTTCTGGTGGGGATTATAAAAGATCATGTAAATAAAGGGACTTAGCCCAGATGCAGAAACACTGGATTCTTGGTAAATGTCACTTATTTTTTTTACTAATAACAACGGGTTCTGACCATCTCTGCTCCTAGCAGAGTTCCCTGGCGTTCTCACCAAGGCCCGACACTGAGATTTCCCCCCCTTTACACCCAGAGACATGTCCTGTGAGATTATTTAAAATGATGAGAAATCCTGTGAGACTTTGAAAATGATCCAAGTCTTGTTTCCCATCAGTTGGGGGGGGGGGTTCTCTGTTTCCCTAAGGATTAGAATGGTTAGCTTTGTTCTGTTGTCAGTGTACAGATTGAAGTCATTTTTTTCCGCAAGTCTTCTCACAGTGGGTTGATGTGTGTGACGAGGATCAGAATTGCTCTGTAAGGGGCGGGCAGCACAGAGAGAAGTAGGGGAGAATGATGGGACCAGCTTTGGACCTGGCCAACACCAGCATGGGTTCTAAATCACAGGTCATGATGTCTGGGAACTCAGGAAGGTACCTGACCATCTTGCCGAAATGTCCTATCAGAAGGCTGTTATGAGAAAGGGATTTTCTTGGTTATTCAGAGTTTTGGTATGATCTTTGGAGAAATGATCATGCAGCCTGCTTTTAAAATCCACACGGTCCTCACTGTGTGCCTCCTTGATAGCCAGTGCTTGGAAGTGCAGAAGTCTGCTTAGTGCAGCCAAGCTGTTCTTGTTGACCCCACAGCCCTTTTGCCACGTAGGGGCCCTTGCTTTGCACCTTACTCTGCCTCCCGGCAGAGAGGAGGTGTCTGTTACACGTGTCTTTAATGACATGGGGATTGGCAGATCCGGATGTACTTCCTGTTGTGTTCATATATAATCACCTATTCACTGTTGGGTGCTCTGGCCAGACCATCAAGGAGACTTGTATAATCATGGGATTTTTTTTTAAAGATTTATTTATTTATTCTGGAGAGAGAGAGAGAACATGAGCAGGACGGGCAGAGGGAGAGGGAGAGAGAGAATCTCAAGCAGACTCCACGCTGAGCACGGAGCCCGATGTGCGGCTCTGTCTCACAACTCTGAGGTCATGACCTGAGTGGAAATCAAAAGTCGGACACTTAACCGACTGCGCCACCCAGGTGCCCCTTATCATAGGATTTAAAAGAGATTTTTGGGTGTGGTTTTGGGGAGACAGTGGTCAGAGTATGTCAGATTTGAAGATGAAATGGAGGCCCAGACAGGGAGGACACATAGAAGTTAGGACCAAAGCTAGGACTAGAACTCTTCCGACACCTAGTTCAGGGCCCACTCATGTCATTATCCCAGGCCGCCGCTCACAAGTGCACAACTGTGTCATTTCCCACACCCTCACCTACAGAAAGTGCTCCGTAAGAATTTGGCCAAGCAAGCCATAGTTCTTGGTAGCATGGGGAAGCTGCCTCAGCCTTGGGTGCCTCTTAGGGGTCATAGATGATTTTCACATTTCTGGCTCCGATTTTCCAGTGTGAGTTTTCCTTATGGGAAACCACTTCAGGCCTCCCCAGGTCCAGCAAGCTGGGATATTAGTACTGGGAGAGACTGAATGAACCAAATATCTGTTTTGACTGTAGTAAGAGCTCAAGAAGCCATTTGTTGATTGATGGGAGGCCTAAGGGAAAAATGACCTTCCCTAAGTGACTGCTGGGCTTGGTGGATGTTCAGGGTCTTTATGAGGTAAGATGGCATGCTATGCAGAAGATACCCACTTGGCCTTTTTTTTAAATTTTGAACTTAAAATGACTTTTAAGAATTATGCTAAATTGAAAACAGAAATGTTAGGGCAATAGAATCTGAAAGAAGTAACAGACTGGGACAAGCCTAGGTATATAGTGCTTTGTTTTTCTGGGTAGGCAAGCCTTGTAAGTAGAAAATCCCACACACTCTGTTCCTCTGTTGGTTCTGCTGGGCACAGGCCGTTGCTCAGTGGTTTCCCTCCATTTCCCAGCCATTCCATGGTGAAGAAACTTCTGTTGGCCAGGACCTTTTGGCATTTTATTTATTGGTGTTGGTTCTTAACTTCATTCACTAGCAAGAAAAAAATGGGGAAGAATTTTTGAGGACAGATTGGAGTGTCATGGTCAATATTTTCTCATGACCTGAAGCCACTAAATCATGTTTCTGAGGCAGCCCCATTCTCTGAATAGTGGAGATGTTTGATGATAGATTTGTTTGCTACCTGAAGAGCAATAATTCTTCAGAAAGGGGGCGACCTTGGCTGCCCCTCAAGGCAGCTAACTTAAGCTGAGAGGCAGCAGAGCACAGTGGTGAAGCGATGGCCGGTGTCGGGATCCTGGATTTGCCACCTTTTAGCTGTGGGACTTTGGGCAAGTTACTCAGCCTCTCTGTGCCACCTCAGGATCCACATCTGTAAAATAGCAATAGTGACGGCTATAAGGCTATGGTGAGGATAGAGTGGCTTAACTCACGTACTTCCTGGTATGTGGTTAGCAACAGTTAAATGTTAGCTTTGTTGTCATGTTCTGTACCCATGTCACCTGGCAGTGGACTCCTTCCTCATCTTAGAAGATTTCAGATAGTTAGAGAAAAATCTGGAATATTATAAACATGCTGTCTCATTAAAAATGTTAAATATTTTTTAACAGAATATTTACAGAGTAATTTTTCTCAGGAGAACTTGGTCTTCCTTCTCTTGTGCAGAAGCTAATGGGACAGCATCTTGCCCCCCTGGAGTCTCGATATAATATCTGGGTTCTGGACTTCTGTTTACCCCTGACTGTTCGACTTTGGTCCAGTCGTGTATTTCTGTGTGCTTCGGCGTTCCATTTTCATGGTGGGGCTGATACTGCCTGATTTGTCCAGGGCTGGAGAACCAGTGAGCCACCAGTGTTTTCCACCTGCTACAGGAAATTTCCGTGTGTTCTTGTCCCCCCCCACCCCCACCCCTGTCCAAATGTGGAGGCAGGGCCAAAGAAAATTTGAATACGTGAAAGCAGGGCGATTAAATATTTGTTTAGTGTTGTCCTTGTTATATTAGGGTTATAGAGCCATCTAATTTTCTCTGCTAGTTTATTCTCTGAAGGGGAATAAAAGATACTTCTAAAATTGTGCATATACAGTGATTTAATCAAACAAATTGAATTAGAACAGAGAGAATTAGAAATGACAGAGGCTGTCCTTGATTTGTTTGTCTTCAGATGGTGGCATCATGCCAGTGGCAAATAAAGTTACCTGTCCCACAAGGAGCTTCTCGTGGTGCCATGATAGGAATAAAGATGACTTCACTTTTGAATATCATAATATGAGCCCTGCCTTTGGCAAATGAAATCATCCTGTCTCTGTCCTTTGCAGGCATCAGCCAACCAGCTGGTTATGGCTTTCTTGAGCAGATGCCGTGCCAGGCTGGAACTTTACCTTCTGCCGACAGTTCACTTCTTCAACACCCTATTTTAGAAAAGAAGTGAATGCTAAATTATGGGCTACCCGTTGACTTTTGACGGGCAGTTTTTGGGCTAAAATTTTGAGGAGAAACAACTGGTCCCCAAATACTCCGGACCCCACCCGGAATTCCTCTGTTCGTCAGGGAGGATGGTCAACACGGCCGGGCCCTGACCTTCTTTCCTCCTCGATGTAGGGGGACTCGCAGCCGCAGAGCTGGATTAGATTAAGGTGCATCTTGAATTCAAACGAGATGTCCCAGGAGAAGTGCTCAGCACTGCTGATGGCAAAGGCAGGGTGTGACCCTGGGGGTCCATGTGGCCTTGCTTTGGCCTTCAAAATGTGAGACAATAAAGACAAAGATTCTTCCTTCCCGTCCCCTTTCCATCCCCTCCTTCTCCCCTTGAGCCAAAGCGGCAGGGACCCGGTTCATAGCTCAATAAACTGCTTCCTTAAAGAAATGTCAGGACACCGACCAGCCAGTAAATGTGCTCTGACTCCAGGCCTGTCCTCTGACTGACTGGGATGGGAGCCCACACACACTTAAAACTCAGAAAAGTCTAGAAACCAGAAAAGAACAGTAGCTTATTTTAATTTTCATATATTCTCAGTCTTTGCCCTCATAATTTTATAGCATTAAAGAGTTTTGTTATCTGGTTTTTGTTGTTTTTTTTTTTCACTCAGCATTATGTCAACACTTGAAAATGTTTTCATGGAGATATAATATTTCATCAAGTGGATGGCCTCTATGATAGAATTGACTTATTGTTGGGTCTGACCTGTTGTAAATCAGGCTGCAATGCCGGCTTCCTTAGTTCTGCCCTTGCTTTCGTTGTTTCCCAAGGGCAAATTCCCACAAGGGGAGAAATTTGGGGCATTCTCATTAACTACATATT